CTTAGAGGGAGCAGCTCGGCTTCTGCACTGGTTGTGGGCCCCCCCCATCGGTCCTGGAGCACGGGACTGGGCACAGGAAAGGGAGGGGGCCTTGATTTTAAAAAGAAAAACAGGAGCAAGAGAGACAGTGGCAAAGATAGATATTCCCTCAGAAATGAAACCTACCCGCTGGCCGGCCAGCCAGGGCGGGGCCCTCAGGGTGGGAGCTCGGCTTAACCCCCCTTCCTAGGGGTCCCTTTTCTCCCGTGAGGTTGTAATTGAATGTAAAAGGAGTCGAGCAGTCAGTGGTGTCTTCTCTTCGAAGGATAAAGCTGAGTGTAACATTTTCACATTTTACTCAAACGTGATAAAAATCCCGACCCGCGCTGGGCTATTGGTGCCGCTGTGCTTGTCCACCCGCCTCCTTGGCGTGTGTCTCCGGGCGTGTGTGCTCTCCAGCATCAATATTTATTAGTGATGTTAAGCTCTTAGCGGGCATGGTGTAGTTCCTAATTAGGTAGCGCCTCCAGTGTGAACCCACCGGCTCTAAATAAATGCTTCCTCGTGGTGGAAATAAATGCTTCCTTGAGAATGATCCCAGCAGCGGCACGGAGACTCGTAAACTAAACCAGAGTTGGGGTGAAACCTATGAACACTTGGGATGTACAGGGGGTGCGATCATTCGGCCCCAGAGGGATGAGTGTCTTCCAGTCCGCCGCTGATCCGCATCTCCCTCGGCACCCTTTAAGGTCCCGTTTCAGGCCCGTGTCTTCATAAAGCCTCCTAGTCCTGCTTAGGGTGCCATCCCTCAAATCTCAGCCCTTCTGGGTCATGTAACTCATTTGAAACTTGCAGGGGGTGCCCCATGACATTGCTTTTATTATTTGTGTGTTTGTGTGTGTGTGCGCACAAAAATAAGAGCTAACACTTCCTGAGAGCTTTCTTTAAGGCAGGTGCTGTGTTAAGCAACATACATATGCACCACATATGTGCATATTTATATATTCAATCTCCCAGCTACATAGTTAACTCCTCGTGGGTAAGGGCTGAGCTCTGAACTTGTTTCTATGCCTCCAAGGAAGCTTGGGATGGTGCTGGGCACTTAGTAAACACTCAATAAATATTTCTTAGCTGTCAACGAATCCCGAGAAATTAGTAGAGCTCACCTTGGAAGCAATGCTGAGCAAAGTGATCTGGGAATCAGACTCATGGGCCAACATTTCGACTGCCTGCTGTAGAGATGCACTCAGTCTGGGTGGCCATTAATTAATCAGTGTAGCGTGGGCCCAAAAGCATGGGGCTGGAAGTCAGGAGACAAGGATCTCATCCCCCTTCTGCGACCATGTCAGAGTGGCACCTTGGATGAGTCTCTTCCCTCTCTGGGTCCTACTGTCCTCGAAAGAGGGAATTGGGCGAGATGTCTGTAAGCCCCCTTCAGGGTGTGATATATGACTCTGTTTCACAAATGCATGCACTCTTATTTGTGACACAAACCCCCACAGATAAACAAAATCATCAATAAGTTATGAGAAAATCAGGTGCCCTGATCCTTTGCACTCTCGGAGGGTGCACGCCCGCCTCTCCGGGGCGACAGGAGGCTCAAGGCTGTCAGTCGGGCAAACCGAGCCGTCTCTCCGGCTGTACTGACAGGCCGTCCGCGGAGCTCCGTGGCAGGGAGACGATTCTGCGTTGAGTCACTGAGTCACAGATTTCCGGGGAAATGAGAGTCAAGCAGGGAGAAGCTTGGTTCATTTTCTACTTAATTTTATTCTTCCCAGAGAGTCACATTTGAAGGAAGACCGGCTAACAGCACATAATAATAGAGTAGAAGCTCTTTCTAATGGGAGATATTTACATCTTTTCGGGGCCACAGGAAGCACCTGCTTGATTCGATCGTTCCCGCTGATAACTAGTCGGCTTGGTTTTAAATGAGGCAGAGGGTCTGGAGCATTTGTAGATGAAATGTGGGCTTGGGCGTCTGAGTGTTTCGCTTTCCACTTGGTTGCTGTGGCACCTTGCAGACCTGCTCTGAATGACTGACATGTATTCGTCCTGGAAAACTCCAAGCCTGTGCAGTAGTGGCGCAGGGTGTCCAGGCGGCGTGCATGGGTTTTAAATGAGACACAGGCTGGTCCAGTTCACCGGAGGAAACATCTGAGCCACAGCCCCGGGTATGGGGGAGTAAGTGACTATTTCTAAGGGGCTCGATTCTTCCCATACAGACGCAACCTTCAGGTTCAGACTCAGCCAGAACCAAAATACACTCAAAGCCGGACATGCCCCGGTGGAGAAACCTACCACAGCCAAGCCGCGAAAGAAACTTAGGTAACCGATTATTTTAAAAAATATTTTCAAAAGGCTCCACTATCTTGAATACTTTCAACCTTCTTCTTTTCTTGAAAGCTGAAAACCCCAAAGATTTTTATAATTTTAAAATGTTTTTAAGTATAGGAAGCTGTTGAGAGTGGTAAAAATAATACTGAGCTGGCAGTGGGGACATAGCTCCTAACCCAAGCTCGGCTCCCCCAGACCGTGAGCAAAGAGCCACCACAGATGGCCTCAGGGTGCCCAAAGGCGGGTCCAGGAAAGGTACCAGTCGAGGTCCCCCCTCCCTCTCAATGTCTCTGCTGCTTGTATTTAGGCCAGCGTTGGTAGAAAGTCCTGTGGCGGCGGTTAGTATTGAAATTGGACATAAGTAACTGGGGCAGAAGGTAGCTGCGGCCCAGCAAGAACTGGGGGGAGGGAAGGAGGAGAGGCCCCCTGGCCCCCGGCTGCCCTGACGGGGAGGAGCCGGGTGCAGTCACAGAGAGCGCCTGGGCCCAGAACGCAGCCACCTCGGGCCAGGGCAGTCCCGCCCTGCGGCTCATGCCCTGAAGACAACCCCCTCGTCAGCAGTCAGACGTCTGCACTTTCTCCAAACCTAAGCTCGGGGCACAGAGCAGCGCTTGGATTTGTCCTGGAAGCTGTTCATCTAGTGCCATCCAGAGGCCACATGTCCTTGAAATGGAGCTGGGGAAGCAAAAGCGGAAAAAGGAAGGGAACTTGACTTCTATGCCTATTATATTATCTGTGTACAGTGTACACGTACACATGTATGTACATATGTGCACACACATGGAAATGTATGTGTGTCTCTAACGTGTGTGTGCGTACACTTACATGTGTGTAAGTCCCTGTGTATAGCTTGGGGTGGGCACCACACGCCACCAATTCACCATGCTGAGCAGTAACTGCAAAATGCCATTCGGTTCACATTCAGTAAGGAATTGCCCGGAGTGACTTGGGGGGGGCGGGGGCAATGACCTAACGCTAGAGCAGCAGGCCAGAGGTGGGGGACTCGGTTCTCCCCCTGACCCCAGGACGGTGAACCCCACCTCTCTGGCTCATCTGTCCACTGAGAATGGCCCTTCTCACCTAGAAATAAGCGAAGGGCCTTGCTCTCCTTGGGGGCGGGGTGTCATAAGAAAGGGGGGGCGAGAAGGCGCCTAGTGCGACAAGCCCGGGGCAGCGCGCGGGGGAGGCGCGGGAGGCCCGTGTGTTCACAGGAACAGCGAACGCAGCTCATTCCAGCGCGATGTTAACGAAGCTCAGGTTCCCTGCACCCCCAAAGCAAGACCGCCAACAAAAACCTCTAGGCGCCCATCCGCCGCCGGGGTGCACCCGCCGAGTCCCGGCTGAGCCGGGGTTACCGCTCCGCCTCCCGCCTCCCGCGTCCGCGGACTGCGCGCATTTTTAAAGGCGCACTGCCCCCCAGTGGCGCGAGACAAACGTGCCGCGTGGCCCGCCCCCCAACAGCCAACCCCCAATTTGATTTTGCCTGGGGCCCCGGGAAAGCGTCGGGCGTCGGGNCTGAACGCGGGAGCGCGCGAGGAGAGAGGCCGCGATCCGGTTAGAAACCTGGGGCCCCTCGCTGAGCCCGCGGGGCCTCCCGGGGCCCGGGTTCGCGCTTTTTTTCTCGGCGCTGCACCTCTGGATGGGGCTCGACCGAGCGGAAATTGGCGTGGGAAGGGTGCTGCGAGGGGACACAGGGCGCGCAGGGGAGGGGAGGCGGCGGCCCGCACCCCGGGAGCGCTGGCAGGAGGCGCGTGAGGGCGCATCTGGGTGCGTGCGACCCGTCGCCCCGTGGGCTCAGCTGCAGGCTCCCGGGTAAGTGGCAGCGGTGGGCGCCGCAGGCCCACAGGAGTCGGGGGCTGTGCCAGGGGTCCCGCGGGCCCACAGGAGTCGGGGGCTGTGCCAGGGGTCCCGCGGGCCCGCCCGAGTCGGTCTTCCCGGTCGCTCCCTTTAATTGGTGCGGTCATCAGCCCACTGTGAGGACGGGGAAGCTGGGGCTCAGACAGGTGCCACCTGCCCGTGACCGCCAGGGGGTGCAGGTCTCTCTGGACCGGAGCTGGAGCTTTCCGCGCGGCGCAGAGACCCGGGCGGCGGGGCAGAGACCGGGGC